AGAACACAGCTCGTGTTTCCACCAACCATTTGGAACAAAATACTTGGATCCCAGCATTTCAAATACTGAGGAGATCTGGTGGTGGTGAGGTCTGCGCAGGTTGCTGATGTTCCTTGGCTTCCTTCGTGGGTGCCTCGCAGTCATCTCCCTGTTCAGGCGCTGCTTTTGGTGCATCCATGAGTATCTGAACAACCTCCCTCATCGTTGGGCGTTCCACGCTCTGTTCCTCGACGCACAGCATGGCGACGTGGAAGACGTGCACGGCTTCGTCCATGGGAACCGTGGGAAGCCGGGGATCCACAATCTGTGGCACTCCGCCCCTGTTGGATCCACATTCTGTCATCTTTCTAACCCATTGGACGATGTCGACGCCCTCGCCGAACTCGCCCACCGGCTTCCTGCCCGTCACCAGCTCGAGAAGCACCACACCGAAGCTGTAGACGTCGCTCTTCTCGTCCACCTTCAGCGTGTATGCGTACTCTGTGGAGCCAAGGTCGAACATGTTAGTAATGGCTGACGTAAAACTAGTAAAAGCTACGCCAACTCCTAGAGTCCATTTATCGAAGCGACTCTAGTTTAGTCTACTTGGCTGGAATGCATCACCCAGTCCAAATAGAACGATAACCATAAAACTACTGCTGCAACCACAAACCATAGATCATCCAAGAATCTATTCAAGATTGGTCGCACGAATACTTTCTTTGCATTGAACTTCCATGAGCAGATCATTTGCAGAGACGTTCCAATCGAACATATACTATGAAAACAGAGCACGGTAAGAGATAAGAATTCAAGGTATTACCTGGAGCAATGTAGCCGTAGGAGCCGGCGATGGCCGACATGCACTCGGAGCTACCGGAGTCCTGCAAGAACTTGGCGAGCCCAAAGTCCGCGACGTGGGCCTCGTAGCTTGAATCAAGCAGGATGTTGTTGGATTTAACGTCGCGGTGCAGGATCAGCGGCGAACAATCATGGTGCAGGTAGCAGAGCCCCTTGGCGGCCTCGACCGCGATCTTGTACCGGGTGTTCCACAGCAAATGGCCGCCCTTGTTGCTGTGGAGAACCTCTCCGAGGCTCCCATTGGGCATGTACTCGTAGACCAAGAGATTGGTCTCGTGGTTCGAACAGAAACCCAGCAGCCTGACGATGTGGCGGTGCCGAATCCTTCCGAGAGTCTGTATCTCGGCTGAGAATCCATGGTCATGCGGTGAGCTCCGGCTCATCGCGGGGAGCCGCTTCACCGCGACCTGTTCGCCGTTGGGCATGACGCCCTTGTACACGATGCCAGCCCCGCCTTTTCCGATGATATTCTCCTCCTTCAGGCACTCCAGGACATCGTCACAGGTGAAGTCGAGACGCTGAAAAGCCGTGAGCTTCCACGCTCGGGCCTCGCTTGCCTTCTTCAAAGATCGAGCTTTGATGATGGCGGCGACGGCAAAGGCAATGGAACAGATGAGGAGACCAGTAACCAATAGCAGCTTAAAGGGAGCGGAGAGCGGCCCCCTTGCGTGAGTGGAGCCGTTACCGTTGGTCACGGAGTTGCAAGGGCCGACGTACGGGCCGCAGAGATCGGGATTGCCCACGAACGAGCTCGCGTTGAAGTAGCTGAACTGGCCGGAGCCAGGGACATGGCCGGAAAGCTTATTGTATGAGAAATCGACCGCCGTGAGGCTCTGCATCGTGGCAATGGATGGCGGAATGCCCCCTTCGAGCTGGTTCCTTGACAAGTTCAGGTAGTTCAAGATCCTCATTCTGGCAATCTCTGGTGGGATCTCTCCGGATAGCTCATTTCGGCTGAGGTCGACGAAAGTTAGGAGTTTACACCGGCTTATCTCCGGTGTTATCGGACCGGAGAACCGATTCCCGCTGAAATCCACCTTGGAGAGCTCCTGCAGCCTCCCAATCTCCGGTGGGATACGGTCAGAGAACTGGTTCTGGTTCAAGAGGAGCTTCTGGACGCCGGAGTAGTTACCGATGGACGGCGGAATCGAGCCCGAGAGCCGGTTGTTCGAGAGGTTTATCTCACCGAGGTCCGGAGAGATGGCGGCGGCGCCAGTGTCCGGGAAACCGCCAGTGAGGAGATTGTCCTGGAGCTCGATCTGCGAGAGCATGGGCAAGCTGAAAAGGCCATCAGGTATCGATCCGTTAAGGTAGTTCTCCCCCATACGGATCCGGCTGAGCGATTTGCACCGGCCGAGGGTCTCCGGTATTGGGCCAAAGAGGAAGTTCCCGAGAGCGATGACAGTTTCCAGAGTGTTCTCGGAGCATAGGCCCGTCGGTAATGTCCCGGTGAGCTTGTTCGACGACAAGTCGAGGAGCTGCAGCCGGCCGCTCCGCCCAAGCTGCCTGGGGATCCCACCTGTGAAATTGTTCTCCCAGAGCTGTAGAACCTCCAGCGCCGGCAGCTCGCCGATGAACTCCGGGATTAATCCGCGGAGCTTGTTTCGGAACAGGTTGAGCAGGGTCAGGTTCTCGAGGTCGGCGAAGGTGGCGGGAATCTCGCCTGTGAGAGCGTTGTTAGAGAGATCCATGGACTTGAGGCTGCGGAGGCGGCCAAGCTCCGGCGGGATGTCACCGGCGAGACCGTTCACCTGGAGGAAGAGCGTGTCGAGGTTCTGGAGTTTCCAGAGCTCGGGCGGAATCTCGCCGTTCAGGCCGCAATTGGCCATGTCGAGCCGGACGAGCGCCGGGAGGCTACCAATCTCCGGCGGGATGCCGCCCTCGAAGCTATTGAAGTAGCCGACGTAGAGCTGGCGGAGGCGGGTAAGATTGCCGAGCTCCGGCGGTATGGGGCCTCCGAGCTCGTTGCCGGAGACGGCAAGGTACTCGAGGAACTCCCAGCGACCGAACTCCGGAGGGATGACACCAGTAAAAAAGTTGCCGCCGAGGTGGAGGTGGCGGAGGTTGGGGAGTTGGGCGACCTCGACGGGTAGCGGGCCGGTGAGGTTGTTGTTGTAGAGGTCGAGGACGAGGAGGTTCTTGAGACGGGCGAGGGCGGAGGGGAAGGAGCCATTGAGGAGGTTGTTGGAGAGGTTGAGGTGGCGGAGGCTGGCGAGGCGGGAAATCTCAGCGGGGATGGGGCCGGAGAGGGAGTTGGAAGCGGCAGAGAGGTTGAGGAGGTGGCGGAGGCGGCCGACGGCAGGAAAGAGGCTACCGGAGAGGTTGAACCCGGTGAGGTCGAGAGAGACGACGGAACCCTGGATGGGGTCACAGCCGACGCCCGGCCAGGAGCAGTGACCAACGCCAGCAGAGGAGTTCCAGGCGGAGAGGGAGGCGGAGGGGTCAGAGACAGTCGTTTTAAGATCAAGGAGGGCACGGGCCTCGGCCGCGTCCTCGGCCGCGGCCGCCAGCGCCCCGAGAACAAGGACGAATAAGAGGCGGAGAAGGTGTTGGCGGCGGAGCGACGCCATTACCGTCTCATACGCACGCTCTCTCTCTTTATATAAACATGGGGTGGAGGACGTGAGTTTTGTGGGGCTTTCCTTTTTCTTTTAATTTATTATTTTTCGAGTGCATTTTTGGGTGGTGTTGTCTTTCGAATGCCAACGGAGGAGGGAACCGTGTGTGTTTGCGTTAAGAGTGTGTGGTGGAATAAAAGAGATATGGGGCTGGCGATGATTCATTCTTTTGCTTGCCAAGGGAGGAGGCATGAAGATGAGATCCAAAACACTGTCTGGGCATGAGAGTGGCTTAATAATTCAATGCAACAGACAATTGAATCGTGCAATAATGCAAGATTTCGCTGCTGGTCTGAGGAGGAGATGGGGGACTGACTTATGCTTTGACGCAACTATGACTACGAGTAGCAGTAAAAGCTTGAAGAGACTCGGAAAGGGATCACAGTAAGATCACTAGAAATTAAGCTTATCGAAATCGGTACTAACCAAACAGTTTACAATTGATAGGGGAAATAATGGCGACATGACGTGTCACGGCAAAAGCCCCACGTGGGCGCCACTCTGCCCGATGAGGAGGGCAATAACGCTGACTCGACTCACGCTGGCGACACCCGCTATCAGGCAATGGCTTCCAACCCCGCACGCTTGACCGTGGCAGGGCGGGACGACTACCGACCCTCGCCCATACCCTGCAACGATCCGGTTCTCCACGCAACGTCAGTGACGGTGTCAGACGCCATCAGAGGTGCGACCTTGCCTCACACAGGTAGGTACACCAGGAAACGGTATGTTTCCCCATAAATACCCTTGCATTCTAAACGGAGAGGGGGACAGAACTCACACAGAAGCACTCCCTCTTCCACCACCCTCTCCACGTCGCTAACTTGATCGTCGAAGGGGTCGGGTTGAGCCTCCGACCTGACCAGTGTGTAGGTGCGAGACGAGGTTGCCTCTTCCCCGATGCTGCGGCAGAGCTCTCCCCCTGACGGGACATCCAGATCACCGAGGGTCGGCCACCAGAAGGACCCGAGGCACGCCACGCAAGATCCCCGCCATTCGGACCCCTGAACCAGCCGCGTCGACCCCGAGGTCACGGCTAAAAAAGTTATTTACCATAACAATAATCAAATCAAACTAAATCGAATTTTGATTTAATTTGATTAAAATAAGACAATCTTTGAGCTATGGAACTTTTTGAACGTGAAAAAGGCAAGCAATGATTGAACATTTCAGAGGACAGAACTATAGATCTGAAGGATTCCTTCGCTGGTGAAGAGACACATCTTCTTCCGGGTTGAAAGATCAATTTAATGTCGAATCCCACCAGTAAAGCTCCAAATGAATCACTTTTCGAGATTGGTCGAGTTAGGTGAACTGATGATGGATTGTCTCAAAGCTAGCTAAGAATGTGGGGTTGTGTGAGGCCCAAAATGTGAATGGGCCTAACAGATATGGCAACTGGGTTGGGTGACCTTCGAACAAGTCGATGCAGTGACAGTTGCACCTTTGTTTGGTTTGACTCGCTGTGTTTGTGTCGATCTGGGCAAGTAGACTGCAAAAAGTTAGAGAACCAGATTGAGATTGTCACCTTACGAAATCTAATGCGACTCAAAGCACAACTTCACATTAGATTCTTGATAAGATCTTGCAGGGCCATCATGCAACAATAATTTCCCTGCTGTGTCCTCTTAAAAAAGTCACATGACATGACCAGCAGCAAAAACTCGCTCATGACTCGACTCCCATACATTACATGCCACCAAATGAACAGGGACTTTTATTGTACACATTATTGTGAAATAAGTACGGCAGCAGCAGCAACAACTACAGCTTCGTCGTCTCTCTCAGACACACCAACACACAAAGAGAAGGGACGCAGACAAATAGGAATCGACATCCTAGAAAAAGGACCACCCATACTGCTTAAACAAGGACTTTGTTACACCCCCAGAATAAAAAGATCACCATTTTTTTCCACACTGAAGCTTTTGGAAACAAAGAAGTTGGCAGAGGAAGCCAAGAAGTAGGTTTACAAAAGTCAACCTCATCAGAGGAAGAAAAAGGGCCTCTTAGGAAAGAAAGAAAGAAAGAAGGAAGAGTGTGCTGAAAGCAAACACCCCAGAGATCCCTCAAAAAGATGATGAGACAACAACTAGAATTGTCCATGTCTTCTCCCATGAAAGCATGGTCGACTAACTCAACCATGCAAAACGGAGGATGCAGCGAAGACAGAACACAAAAACATGGATCGAGAGAGGCCTAATCAACAAAAGCGAAACCAAAATGGTGGTCTTTGCAATGTTGGGGGGGTATCTAAGCCCTTGTGTTCAAGAGTGCGAGCTCTAAAAAGACAGAACGAACCACCCTACTCTACTCAGCTACCATCCGCTATATTCTTCATGTAAGCTTTCTGAAAGCAGAGTTCAGCTTCTTCACCAGATCCGTCACTGTCATGTCGAACCCTTCTTCGATCTGTAAACAGTCGCCACACACATCAATTTTCGTCAAGTGCTTACGTTCCCGGAAGGGAATTAGGATGTTTTACCTGAGCCATCACTGTTATATCAAGAGAGGAACCAGCGAAAGGGATGACGCTGGTGTTGACGACAGACAGGTGGAGCTTCTCGATTTCAGAGAGTGCTTTCACCAGTACTCCTTTGCGGTTCTCGCAGTGAATTTTCACGAGGACGGCCTTCTCCGACATCTTGGCTTCGATCTCTTGGAGGCTGTCACCGCATTGTTGCCCGTCGAAGTTCTCGTCACAGGAGGAACTGTCGTCGTCAGCACAGAGCTGAGATTTCTTGACGAGAACTGCAGACTCAACGGTCCTCTTTGCGGCCTGGTCTTCCAGGATCTTCACCTTTTCTTCGAGTTGCTTCAGATACTTGATAGCATCGCCGAGAACAGAAGCCTTGTCCATCTGCAAGAGGATGCAGGATGTTCTTCAGAACGACCGAGAAGAGAGAAGAAAGCTCGATCGAGAACATACCTTCTTCAGGCCGGGAACGATGGCTGATAAAGCTATGAATCTCTGGCTGAGCTTCTCCCTTCGCTTCCTCTCGGCGATGATGTGTTCCTTGTGATACGTTGACCTTGTCCCCGTGTTGACACCTTTGGATCCCTGCCCAACCGTGGCTTCGTAGTTCCTCTTGGATCCGTGATGCACCAAAGCATCCATCTCCTTCTCCGGCTTCACCACCCTGACGAGACCCCCGTATATGTTGTTCTGGTCGCTCGGCGAGTCCGGGTTGCCGAAGGAGAGGATGCTTGGAGACGAGGCGTTAGGTACCAGAGCCGAGTTCTGCTCGGTGGTGCAGGAACTCCAGCTACCAGCCTTGAGGGTCTTCTTTGGCCTTTCGGCGCTCGCCGGTGGCTGGTCCGCAGGTAAGGAGTTGTAGCTCTCCGAGGAGAAGGATCGCTGCAAGTCTTGCTCGAGAGCCGCTGCAATTTCTTGTGCAGTGAACTGATCTATCACGTCCCACTGGTCGAAGAAATTGCCACCCATTCCCTATCAACGATAGAAAAGGAGTGGATCTTATTAATCATTTCAATCATCCAAAGCTCTTGAGTTTGATCTCCTCACCGCATCAGAATACCATTCCGCAGCTGGTGCTTCCATTGCCGGTTGTTCTCTGAGACAGGAGAGGAACCTGAATCAAGAATCAATGGACGGTGAGGTGGTAATCAGTTCAAAATCATTGCTTTCTCCAGCAAAACTTCCTAACTTGATATCAAAGAAAGAAATAGAAGAGCCAACATTTGTGTCAGTGGATTCGATCTTGGCAATTAATGCTACACATCCAAAGGGTCTCATAGAGGAGAACACCAACCTGCACCAGAAGGTTAAGGCCCTTTCTCTTCCTCTGGAACCGAGGACACCCAGGCTTCTTCTATATACTATCTGGATCAAGAACTTATTCGCTTGGTGTGAACTTTACTTCCTCCATGTTTACAAAAGGAGACTTTGGTGCCTTTTATGACTTGTTAAGCCTTGAGAACATAGTCTCTCTCTCTCTCTCTCTTTCTCTCTCTCTCTCTCACAAGACAACAGTTCTTTTCTGGGATGGATCATCAAACTATTTTATGATAAGGCGAAGGATTTGCGGATCCATTCAGCAATAAAAAAACTACATAATTCGTCATTGTGACCAACTAAGCAACGAATATTTCGTCAAATCGGGACGGCAACAACCCAGAATGAATTATTAGAGTGGAGAGATGATTGGCCCTTTGAACAAGTGGTAGATCTCTTCATGTCAAGTTCCTATCTCTAGCACACAGGCTAAACCTCATCATTTGCTAGAAACATAATAGCAACCTAAGCCAGAATAAATCATGCAGCTTTTCCCTATATTACTGAGGTAATCTATGCTAATAATCTACTTGGCATGAAAGAATCTGCATGTGTTCTTTGTCATTTCTGACACTGAAATCCATGTGTAGCAATCTTGTTCTAATTCTTGATACGGTACACTATAGATCTCTGTCATCCAAGAGTATTTTGGTGACTCTGTCATACACCCATGGAGGTAGTAAAAGGACTTTAGGTCTTCAGGCAAAGTGAACTGCATTAAAGCCATGATTGTGACCTCTGGTCCCCCAGCTTAGGGTTCAAGACACATGGCCAATTGGCAGAGAAGAGAACATAAAATAGTCACCAGCCTGTTTATGTAGCATTCCAATGAGCTTTTCTTCACATGAAGGACTGTTCCTGGTGACCCAACTTTTAAACTTAGCCATCCATCATGTGCCACTGAAGCCATTTCAAATTGAACACATAATAGTTAAATGAGAAGAAAGATCCTGCAAATGGGGGAGCCACCATCCTCCTCCTCCTCCTCCTCTTAAAGAAGAGATAGACCTTCAAGTGGGAGATACTATATTCCATCGCACATCCACAAACCTCTCACCCTTGTGTGCCATTACTCCTTGTTGAATCTGAATCTAATGGACTTTGGCTGTCAAGAGTTCTCTCTTGTTTCGAAGGAAATGTTATCAGCATTAGGACCAACGGGTGCTTTCTCTGAAGTCAACTCTCGTTTATGTCAAATTGGAGTCTCGATCAAGAGATAAGTCATCCACAATTTTAGCCTTGGCTTATTATTCTCATAAACAAATGAGTAGTACTTCAATAATTTGGATCCAGCAATCTTCATTAGTTTGGATTGTTGCAAGTAACTTTGACTTGTCAAGATTGTAGAACTTGATGAGGTCACTGATATCGTCACCTGCTAAGTTATGTAGCTAATATATTATACATGCATGCATGCATGCAATAAATGAATGGGAATAGTGAGTCAATTGGACAGAAAAATGATGATGTTGACTTGCTCTTCTTTCCTATGTGGCCAATCATGGCATCATGAAATCTCAAGTCGACTTATGACAGTACTAAATTGAGTAAACACCGAGGGTAGGAAAAACACTTCGATTTGCTGTTGTCATGCCTTTGTTGCTGTTTTCTCGAAATAGTTTCGGCGCCGTGTGTGTTCATATCCACACCGCCGACCAAGTAAACATGCCTTCAACGTGTAACACACCACTCTTGGCAACATATGCCTACAAAAACAATTTATACCTAGATAAATTAATTTGCATCATCACCCATCAGTCAAAAAGAATATATATATATATAATTAATATAATTTTTTTGGTTGTTCAAATCGAGATGCAAGTATATTCAGTTTCATGTCATACATAACTAAATTACAAACGTGCTCGATAATATTCTTCGATGTTTAGAGAGATATCGTTATCAATTTTAGTAACCATCGATATATAATAGGAAATTATTCTACGATATCGTGATGAGTAAGTCGAAAGCATTTTAGTTAGTATCGTTGTATTTACAAAATGGGTATGAGAATAGAAATCACATTGATGATGATGTGACGTTCAAGTATCTTTGTGTTAATTATGATTAAAGGAAAAGTTAATTCAAATTATTCTACGGAAGCGGATTTCGTAGAGTTGTTGATGTTAGTTGAACGTGAGGAGTCACTCGAAAGCATCCTAGTTAGTATCGTATTACTTAGAATAATGTGATCCGCTTGATTTGGATAGATGCGTGTGATGATGTGATGTTCGAAATATCTTGGAAAAAGTTAATTCCAAGGAAGAAGACATTTATGGAAAATGACATGATGACATAGCAAAAATCCATCACATGATAAATATGTTTGCAATTGGTTGGAAAATGACATGATTAAGACAGTGAAACAAATCCTATTTCTTAGGATTGATTGATTGATTTCCTTGCGTGTTATAGGAATCATAGTGGAGACATGATTGCTTCATGACAACATGGCTTCACGAGCCCCTTTGTACATCTCAGACGTCTGACCTGAGAGCCCCCAAGAAATGGGAGTTTGCTCGTGTACTAAACAATGCACAAGTTGGGGGGTGGGTTATTATAAGTTGAGGATTACATTGTTTGATGGTATTTAATTGTCACCTTCTTCATAGCTTTCATAGCAGTCAGCTGTCATTGGCATGCATTATTGAGGAAGAGGTGGTGCCTGTGGACACACTGGATTGGCCAAACATATATTGGATTGTTGAGAGCCAATTTCATGTATTATTACCTTTTGAGATAAATAAACATTTGCAGTGTCGTTTTCATGCTTCAATTATTACAAGTGCTCTTATGATTGTTAATTTTTTCTTTTTCCCACATCATTATTGTCCATTTATTGGCTTTCTCGGTTAGGTTAAGGTTTGATGTACAAAATGACTATCCTAATTTTTTTTTCCTAATTCATGTAAGTGTTGTTATTAGAAAATAAATCAAACTCGATAAATAATGATAGAAATTATTTTAAAAGTGAAATATCATATAATCATATGTTTTTTCTTTTCAAAATTCTCCACCAATGTATCACTCACTCAATTTATGTAACAAAATCATATATAAAGATCGTGGGCTGATTTAGACTCCCCATTTCATCAATTTTTTTATTATTTCTAATTAAAAATATTTTATCCATTAAATATTCTCTTTTTTCTCTTTTTTTCTTCTCGTCCTTTTCATCTTCTTTCTCCTCGTACGATAATATCAAAAGAACAACGAGCAAGATTGCACAACGTCGAGCGTGCTCGACGATGATGAAGTTGAGAGCAAAGATGAAATAAGGGTAAAAGGTAAAATCAGTAATACTTCGACTATAAATAGTAAAATAATGTTTTTATTATTTTTAAAAGAATTATCAATAGTAAAATCTTGAAATTGTATTAAATTTACAAGGACCTACTACTGTCCTATACAAGTCTCCAAATCCACATTTTCTAGAAAGAGATCTTTCGTTGATTAAACTAAATATATATGTAAAATTTGACAATACAGATCGATGAGATGGATGAACACATACATTAGTAAGTTCCATTTGATACAACCTCTTCACTCGCTCGAGCAGCAATTTGTTTGATGAGCGGTAGAATGAATGATAAAGAAACATGGAACACGATTGGGAGATCCAAGAAAGATAAAGGCAATCACCTCTCAACCGAGGGAATCCAATAAGATTAATAATCTAAGACAAGTGTGATCGTGGGAGATCTCGACATCGAATAGCCAGCTTTTATTTGCTCGGTGTTTGATATGTTCTCACATGGGTTTCCTTTTGTTTGACGAATCATTAACATGGCTAATAACTTAATTATTTCATGATCTTATAAGTTTAGGTAATCAAGGTTGTCTCAAGTAGGACAAATTTGTTTCCATACTTAAGTAATCAAACGGACAAAGTTAATTACTATCGTATTGTATAGAGAATTGTGATATGAGATTACCATAATATCGATTTTGATCCGATCAAAACCCAACTCTGATATTTAATTTAGATTTTTTTTAATATTAAAATCAAGTTGTGAACCAATTTGGACCATTTTTTACTTGTTAAGGATGATACTATGTCAGAGGATGAAATTAAAAATAAGTTTTGATCTATGAAAGATATAAAAAAGATTTGAGAGAGAGAAAATGTTACAAGTGCTTTAACATAAAAAAAGCTGATTTCTCTTTTATTATGGATGCTTCGGATGATTAATCCCTTTTAAATTACACCTAAATCACACCCATTACATATTTTCTTAAAATTTTTCTTTAATTCATTTAGCGTGAAGTTGGGAGATCGAGAGGCCAAGAGCCATTCTTCCCTAACGATTTGAAGTTCGGGAGAGAACCGTATTTTCATTAGGACAAAGATGAACTCTTTATAATGAGGCAAGTACGACTAAGTGAACTTATAGTCAACCGGCACAAAGAGCCAGATAGGTCTTCATCTTCACTTTGGAGATAGGTCTTGGTATGTCGCGTCTTATATTTCAAGATTTGCTAAGTATCATCGTCCCAATATAGAGAAGTCGAGGTGGCCATGTTTGGACGTGCTTCATATCACCACCTTGAACCTATCGAATTACGCTAATCACTCTATGTCGAAGGAACTCTAAATATACTATAGATCTCAAACAATAAGTAAAAAATATGGCATGTAACTAAACGAAATATTTCAACAATCACATTATCTAAGTAGAACGATATAAGTTAAAGATGAACTAACTATCATACAACAACAATAATAACAAAGTCATAAAGTCTCAATCGTACCATTAATTCATCAAAGAAGAACTAATTATATAATCCTAAATTATTGAATGATTAAAGATTTATATAAATAAACATGTACCATACTTCAACTAGATTGACTCAAATATAACTTTTAAAATTATTCTCGGAGACAAAGTGTCCTACATTTATTATATTTAGATGAATAAAAAATTGGTCGAGTGAAAATAAAATTTTGATTAATTGGAAAAACCAAAAATTAATAAAGC